GCCAAGTTGTCGGGGGGGGGGGGGGATAAAGTTTGTTTGGGGCAAATTGAGCCGAAAGCCCGGGGCGCGCGGAAGTAACGCTCGGTGTTTCGCTGAATTTAATATCGCCCCACCGGCTGAGCGTGTGTACGTATATGTGTATACATACAATGGGACTCTTGCGACGATGGTAATTAATTAATCTTTCCCACGGGGAAAGGGTAGCGCTACTTTGTGCAAGCGTGTGCTTTGCCTATACGGTGTCGGATAAGGGTTTTGTTTGGCAGCAGGGAATTAACGCGATTATATGTTTGTATATTTAATCGCTGATGCATCTAGTTTTGCCGGTACAATGGGTCATCGGTGGTTATAACACGTGCGAGTGGTATCTGCAATGCATCGCGCGCAGACAGAGCCGCGACCTCCTGCAGGTATATATATATTATAATATATCGTGGTAGACAGACCGAGACAATGGACTTGTGATGCCTATATATACTTTGTCGATCCGCAAGCCGCGACCCCGTTCCAAGACAACGGCTGCTGCTAACCATCCGCAAACCTCGATAGGTATAGCGCACTCGTGTGGCGAGATGGACTCTCCAGAAACAATAATCCTCGCGTTTGTACCTATATTGTATGCATAAGCGCTCACGTGCGACCAACGACTATTGGTATATGAATATGCACGAATATACGTATATACGACCGTAGGGGTAAACGTACGTATACGGGGGATGTGCGGATGATTGCGACGTGTCCGTGTGCATGTTAAGGGTGTACGGAATAATAATTGATGAGAGTTGTCTATTTGAACCGAGTGCGTATAACGTATAACGTCCGATTGGCCCGTAGAAGGCGTTCAGGCAGTACGAGAGCTCGATGACCTCTGCCGCGGCGACGGGTGACCGGCTCTGCCAGATGGAGGCCATGGACGGGGCGGCGCGGTGCCTCGAGTTCTTGCGGCTCCAGCACAAGATCTGCAACTGCAAGCCCCTCGAGTTCAACACGAGGCTGCACGAGGTGGCCTCGAGCGTCGGTGCCAAGGTGCGTTTGTCTATATACATCACTGTGGCCGTCGCTGCCAAGTCCCTTGAATGCGTATACACGCGCGGGCAGTGTCACACACACCAACACCTCCTCTTGGCTTGCGTTGCCAACCGGAAAGACGAGCTGGCGCTTCTGCTGTATCGCGGCCCCCTTTTTTTTCTCTCCGACGCGATAGGAATCTCCCCCCTCCCCCTGATACTAACTTCCGGTCCACCCGATAATCCGAGCGATACCTACTTGTGTTTTTTAATGCAAATTCCGTGAGATATTTATATTCATTGTGTTTTTTTATTGAAAAAAAGTATTGAACGGTTAATGCCAAAAGGACTCGAGAATTCCCCCCTTTTTTGTCGGACAGTCGATTTCACGCCCGAACAAATCGGTCCAACTTTAGACGAAAATAGATTATTTAACTTGATGCAGTGCCTGCACTCTCGGCACGTGTATTATATAGTTACGCCCACTCGATATAAAATACACACAAAAGCTCGGCTTTCCACGTACTTATTGTTCTCAAGCGCTCGTTCGTTCGGTCGAGTGTATACATGCTCTTTTGTTGTCTGTTGACGCGCTAGTGCAGCACTATCGAGTACAAACGGTGGGAGGACATTATATATATATATATTCCAAGTATTACCTAATGGTCCATAAAATAAAGGAGGTAACATTTTATTGAAAAAAAAAAAAAAACAAAAAAAAAAAAAAAACAGCTGCTCATGAGGACGGTGCGCTGGAGGCTGGCGCGGATCTACGGCTCGTTGGGAGACGAGGAGCAGAGGGTCCACTACGAGCGCACGGCCAGTTCGCTCGAGGAGGACCTTGAGTTGCGCTGCGGTGGCTGCAACGAGCCCTTCGGCCTCGAGCCCGACTCCCTCGAGGCCCTGCCCTGCAGCCACATTCTGCACGCCAGGCAAGTCACAAACACGCACCACCACCACTCGTTCGATCCATCTGCCCACCGTTTCTTCTTCTTCTGTCTTGCCTTCGTTACTTATTCAAGCCTTTTCTCGTGAATTTTTATCGTCGCCGGTGGGTACACACGCGCCACTCGACGAATTTGTTTTGCGACGTGCCTTATTTTCTTTCCTCCCACGTGTGTGCGCCCACCCACCCGCACACTGTGAACTTTACTCGGCTCGTTTTTTTTTGTTTTTTTTTTTTTTCAACCCAAGGAATGGGTTATGCAAACGCGTGCAGACACCATATGCGCTCTCGACCGAGAATTTCGTATGAAGATGTTTGTTTCATTTTTTTTTCCCTCCCATCGCTCCCTCGCGTCTCCTTTTCTTTTTCCGTCGTCAAATCAAACACCGCGTCAATATTATTTTTTCACCTGCAACTCACCGCATAGTTACTTATGACAAATATAATCGCTCCACGGGGTGAACGTCTCGGGTGATGGATTTTTCATTGGATAACATGAACCACATGGGGGAGGCGCGAGTAGTTCGAGTCCGAGTTTGGTCAGCCGAAGCTGTATGTGTTTATTTTGTATACTATCGATGCATGGATCAAAAAAACAGCTTATAGTTGGGTTGAATGTACGCAATCCTAAAATTTCATCCAAACAAGCTGTTGTTGTTTTTTGTTTACCCAGTCGTCGATGCTTTGTTTGGAAGCAAAGAAAAAACACAACTAACGCAAAAATGGAAAAAATTCACAGGTGCGCGTACGACATTCTAAAGAAGCGCGACAAGAAGAAGAAGCGCACCTGCCCAGACTGCCACAAGTCGGTGAGCTCGCGGCTGTACCTCCACTGCGACGACACCCACGACATCAACCCGCTGAATCACAGTTCCTTGAGCCTCGCGTCGCTAAAAGCCAGCAGTCTCGCGACCCTCGAGGATTGCCACGCCACGAGCAGCGTTTAATCAACTCGCCCTCCTTTTTTTCCTTTCTCTTCTTTTCTTTTTCGTCATTTCATTCTTCGAGGCCAACTTTGTCGACGATCTACCGCCGGGACGACACGCAAGGCTCTCTCGGGACTTTACGGTTCTTTCATTATTCCAGAGAGTTATGGAATCCCGCCGAGGACGAGCTGCTTCTTTAGCCAAGGTTACGCGGGACGCGTGCATTTTTGACCAGATTAAAGCTGATGGAATAACTTTCGTGGTAGAATTGGCTTTGCGGCGCCCGCGTGGGCGGTACAATGTACGTCTCGCCTGAAGGAGCGTGGAATTTCGGTGCATGAAAATTCTCTGGTTGGACCGAACATGTATACCGTCAAAGATAACTAGAGTATTTTTTTTTTTTTTTTTGCTTTCCTCGTGATAAATGTATATGAAAAAGCATCGAGCGCGCGTGGCTATTTCAACGGGATTATTTTGATCCAATAGAGAAAAAGATCATCGAGGGGTGGGAAAAATTTTTCGCTCCGTTGTTAATATTTGTTGGGTATTAAATTCAATAGACGTTTCGAAACGTGCCAATGTGAAACATGAAAATTTGCCAAACTTGTACTACAGAGCACTGTAACTTTGCATTTAACGTATGCAAGTGGTGCTGTATATATTTTATTTTGCGAAAAATACACAACCATGTTCGGACAATTTTTGTTGTTGTTTTGGTCATTTGTGACGAATTTGTTATTTGACGCGAGCAGCAGTTGTACCTATGGTAATAATTCAAACAATTTATTAATCGAAAAACGAAAAAAGTGTTAAAAAAAGACAGATCGTTACTTTACAAGAAAAACCGCAGGCATTCCACGAAAATATATACGTGTACATGTATAAAAGCATAATGTGAGGTGCACGCGAGTGCTCAAATACATATATATATATATCTAGATGTATATAAATATTTTTTACACACGATAACATTGATTGTAAAGCTAAGAAATGGTTAAAGAAAAAAAGGTATATTAAATAAATTTTAAAAAATAAATAAAAATAAACGATGCGGAAGACACACGTTAATCAGTGATGCGTGGACACGAGTATACTTGAAAAACAAAAAACGTCAACGAATAAGCAAAATCACAGCCCTTCGGAAGAGCTTCACTCTCGAGTTCATGACATATTGAAATACTACAACTACAAAAAATGAATAATTAGAAAATAAATATTATGCAGATGTTACACTTCCCGTCCGAGTCACATCTTGTTGTTAAAGGTATTTATAGCAAAAGAAAACTTATTGGTGCAATAACTTGTAAAAATTATAATGAGGTTGTAAATGTTATCATCGTAATCTACCTATTAATCGATGATGTCAATTAAATTTTTAGTTACATACTCGAACAAACAACAAAAATTAGATAATTTTTTTTTTTTTCTTTTACATTATAAAAAAGGATTTAACTCAACTAAAGTTGTTTGGGATTCCCTTTGGATAGATAGATGGAAAATTTGTGGAATTCACTTATTGTAAACGTGTCCTGCACTATGTTATGCAATTATTTGGAGATTTTCGAAAAAATTTCAAACGGCGTACACCGTACAGCAAGCATTTCACGTCAAAACGAAACTTGATAGTGTTTAAATGTGTTCTATGAAAAATCATCTTCCAAAGATGAATCAAATTTTACTGAGTAATAGTTTGAATGATTTTTAATACCAAGGATAATTAAATTTATAATAGCAGTAGTGTTTACAGTGTTGCAATTAGTTTAGATGTATCATATCGTTGTATCTTGTATTGTTATAATCTTCAAGTGATTTACGTAGTAACTGGTATTTTAAAAATTTATTAATTATACATTGGTAGTTTTTTATGCAATTTGTACTTTTCTAGGAAAATTTTTTGAAAGTCAAAACATTTGAATTTGGAGTATTCAAAAAAATTTTTTTGAAATATTTCAAAAATGCTTGTAGAAATCGTTCTGACGTGAAATGCTCATCTTATATTGTATACGTATACTTTAAGGGTATGAAAAAAAGGTCTAACAAACGAGTAAGCCAAGCACACAATTGAATACAATTGTTCGAATCATCACCTGATGCCCCAAAAGTGAAAATTAAGAAAAAAAAGTAAAACGGATTGAAAAATTTCACGATGTATCTGTAATGTAAGAAAATTTTAAAAATTTAAAAGTTAATTAACACTGTTGAGTAGATAAGCATACAAGAAAAAAAAAATAAATTATGTAGGTAGATGCTGTATCGAAGAAAGTACGAAGAAAACTATAAACACGCATAAAGGCGAATTCTGTGTCAACTTTACAATGATATATACATATTTAAAAGTTTTAGTGCCTACATTGTGAGCGTTGCACAAAGACATATTTGAATGAAATGTTTTCTTCCTTTGTCAGTTTTACCACTATTTCGCATAGAAATACATGGAAATTGTCTTTCTAATTTTGCAGATCACGTTTTTCAATTGTTAGTATGTATCAGTTTAATCAGATGTTGTACGATATTCGACGGATATGGAATGAGCAAAATAAAGAATTATTTTAGGAAAAATAAAAAAATGTCATGGCTTGTTTCTGTCGCATTTATTTAATTTTCAATATTTTTTGCACCACCTGTTTATATATTTATAAATTTTTTTTTTATTCGAAACGATATAAAAATTTTCTTTTACTAT